TTAGGTTGGGTACCTACCTACTTACCAGCACCTCCATAATCGCTCCCCAAAATGCCCCCTGCCACGAACCTCTTATGAAGAGTTTATAGAAGTGCAGGCTGCAGATTTCCGGCCCATGCAGAGTTTTCATTTCTTTGGCAATTCCTTAACTCCACTTGGAGCTCACAACCTTCTATTACCACACCATCACAAAATATAATGTGAAAGTCCTTATACACTTTGCTTACACTGCACAAGACACACATCCACAGCACAGTACAGCAACTGAAGCGAGCTGTTCACTGTTACAATTATCTTTCAAATTCAACTGACACCAATAGCTGGTTACCACGCAACGCGCTAGCAAATGGCGTCAGCTTGTCTCACGAATGGCGGTTGCTATGGAAACCAGCTGACGAAACTTTACCAGAACCCATATTTGAACAGGAGTTTTGTTTTAACTGATAGGCGCCCCAAGAATTTGTGCGCCGTTTTTTCGAAACATGCCCACCACTTTCGCAGTTTTTCATCCTACATTTTACCTACACGGTGTCTCATGAGACACAATGTTAATCCAATGGGAACTGTCTCGTGGGTGTCTCATGGAGGAGATTTGTAGGAACTGTTTTTGAAGACACGTAAAGAAATGTTATGACCAAATGCCGTCGACAGCTGATTATACCGACCAATTGCTACCAGTTAGCTGTTTTTATAGTAATTTTTGTACAGAAAACACAAACTGAAATCTGTCTCGCGGCTACCCTCTTCGGCTCTTTCCTGTCTCCTACATTGTAGGCAAGTAGGAAGGTTTGTGCACCTCTGCATAGACGTGTCATCGAGAGCCGGCGCTGCTGGCAGCCAGCCCAGCTGCGACTGGCGCACACTGCTTGTTTGTTTTTGTTTTGTTTGGTTAGGCCCTTTCGGTCTGACAAGACCATTTCAGAGCCGGACGAATGATAGGAATTAGGGGGAGACGACATTTATCGGGGTTACATGAGCACAGTAAATACGTATTTAGCCGTTAATTCGAATTAGGAACGCATTACCGACTCATGTAGCCACCTGCTAGTACGAATCGGCGATCCGATCCGCGGTTACATGAGCAAAGCAAATACGTATCACGATCGGATTTACCGCTAATGCGAATCAGGAGCGTACTACCGACTCATGTATCCACCTGCTAATACGAATCGGCGGTCCGAACAAAATCCGCAGGGAAAGAGGCTTAGAAGCGAATAGGACCAAGATACGTATTACAGGAACTATTTCTTTCCAAAAAGAAACATTAAAATGCAAAATAATAGGTATTTTTTCATTTGCTTCTTTTGAAATAATAATTAAAAAAAAATATGTCGGCATTTTGTCAAGTTTTCAAAAATAAATATAGTGAAAACCAAAAAGAAAATATCAAAGTACTTTCAGTTGAAACATTTTTCTGACAGCACTACAGACGAATCAAGAGAGGCAAGTGCTCAATGAGTCAAAGCAAGACAACTTTATGTTTAACTTTTTTGTTAAGTTAATTGAGAATGTTTTGAGCAGATTAAATGCAAAAAAGACATAAGATATTAAGTTTTTAATTCAGTCACCTCTATTGCCACGGAAGTGCGCCACATTTGTATGCTATTCCGTTTGTAATGCGCATCGGGCCGAGAGCCAAACTAGATCCGTTTGACGTCACTGATACGAATTGGCTCTAGTCGGTGCACTGAATGCGTTCTTGGGGAGCTGATGCGAATTAGCGTAGTGCGTATTTGGAACGGATCGCTCATGTAACCGAGGTATTCGATTCGGGCCGTATTTCACAAGAACTATTCTTTGCTGACTGGAAGCGTCAAAATGCAAAATACTAAGCATTTTTTTATTGGCTGCCTCGTAGAAAATAGCAAAAAAAAAAATGTTGGTATTTTGGTGTAGTCTTTGCATGTGAAATAAAATGAATGAAATATTTTGATAGATAATTTTTTCTGACCACCCTGCTGTCGCTGCATGGCGAATCAGTGCCCACTGACTTAAAACAAGAAAACTTTGTTTTCATTTTTTGATTTCATGTTAATTTTAAATGTTTTTGAGCCTATCAAATGATAAAAGTATTTAAAATTTTAGTTCAGTCGTCCCGGTAAATGCCGCAACTGCGCCATGACTGTACGCTAATCCTATTCCGTTTGTGATGCGAATTACCGGCCGTCGAGGAGTCAGCCCGGGTGAGCCAAACAAGATCCGTTTGACGTAGATAAAACGAATTAGTCTCATGTAACCGGTGCCGTAGATCCGTTTGTGGGGAGCTGATGCGCATTAACGTAGTGCGTATTTGGAACGGATCGCTCATGTAACCCCGGTAATTGGTCTGGGCAGACACCCTACAGAGTCGCCGGGGCTGAGCCCGTCCGGATGGACAGGCCGACCAGCCCCCCAAGCACTCTCTGCACCCAGCTACGGGGTGCGCTCCCTCGGGAGCAGCGGTGCCGCTCCAAGGGAGCAGCCCACATGAGATAAAGGTGCCTGTCCAGCCCGGAGTGGGGGGGGGAGGTTCGGCGTGGAGGAGAAGGATTTCAGTATCCTGATTCCTGATGATGGAAACGACGGAACGGAGGAGCACGTTGCTCCGAACCTCCCCTTTACATAGCCGCAGGGCTGGGAAAAATGCTGAATCTGCTACATACCAGATATTACGAGAAACTCTTTATTAGCTACATTGCCACAAATGTTCCTCACATCATTTCTGCTAGAGAAAATGATTTTACAAGTAATCAACATTCTGGACAGAGCTTTCCACTTTCATTTTCTATCTATTGTCAAATTGAGCTTTGAATGTTTTTATTTAGTTGGTTGCACAAACAAAAACAGATACAGTGTCTTGCTTATGCCCCCTGTGAATGTTCTTTTTCTTGTTTTTTACTCTTTGTAGGTACTCACTACTCAGGTTTAAAAAAGCATACAAATATCAAAATAAGGTGCTGTAGGGCTTTCTCAGGGCAAGTTCCAGCACCACCTGAGAGCACCAGAGAGCTCCAGTGAGCCCTATAATTTTCCTTTCAGCATTCCAGCAACTTCAGGATTCAGATGGTATCAGCCTACTCAGGTAGAAAGTATTTGAAAGAAATCAGGTTGATTTTGCTACTCAGTCTGGTCAACAATTTACAATCATTGTGCATGCCGAACCCGCTGTACAAAAGTTGCCAGTTGCCACCAATCAATATTTAGAGTTGATACAATAATTGAACATGTAAAGAAGTAAATAAAAAATTCTTTTCTGGGCGTTACTTGATCAATATTTCAATCAGATCTCACCTTCTGCGCAAATTCGATCATAGGTATCTCCCTATATCTTCACACATCTTGCTTGGCGTGCTGGGCGGCTACTCTTTAACTGTGTACTGCACGCCGCTTTAGGGACAGTTGTCATTGCAACACTTGAAAATAGGCCTGGAATATCCCACTTTCCTAAAATAGAGGCAAAATAAAAGCTAAAATAGCTGAAATAATTCAAAAACACCCAGAAACACTCTGACTCATCAAACTCAACTGAACTATCCACGCGAAACGACAACTAGAATTGTCTCTAATGCGCCAGAAACAATGCATCAACAAAATACACAAACAGCAATGACGTAATTTGTATATTTTTGACAAGATTTCTTAATAAAACTTACAAAAAATGTTCAATAGTTCTTTAAAACTCGAATTTGATTCAAAACAGTATGATTTTAACAATAAAATACATTGAAAACTGAATAAAATTGTGTGTGACGTCATCAAAAAGGATTAAAGACGTTGCAGGACACTGTATCATAAAAGATGGCTTTTTAGAGATGCCATGGGCAGAATGAGTTGATTCTTTCGTATTTTTACTGATCATTGAACAATGCCCTTTTAAAAACAATTTGTTTTGTTTCGTAAATATGTCATTTGAATATTTCACAAATAATGAAACTCCTTTTTGCAATATTCATAAGAAAGATAGCGCATAAAAAGGCGTAGCAGATACCTTTTGTTACACGACTCAGAGTATGAAGAATTAGTGATGCTACAATGGAAACTGCTAGAGCCGCCAGATTCGTCATAAAATGGAGCACAAAGCTGACGTTTTGAACTTGTGTTAGTCTTACAGATGTTTTGTTCTTATTCGCCGACGAGATCACTGGCTGGTGGTACCTCTATTTTAAAAATGTGCGAATTTTGATGTTTTTATTGTATTTTTCTTTATGATGTACGGAAGAGAGAAATGTTGATTTTGCTACAATTGATGGAACAATAAAGCGATATCTGCTACCTACTGGGGTATGAAAGTATGAGAGATTTCCCAGCCCTGCATAGCCGCGAGTAGTATTTTTTTTTTCGGTAAAACAATTAAGGATCTGTAAGCTTTTTGTCAGCGTGCGACGGTTATGTAGGCCGTACCACTAACCGCCTTTGTTTTTCCATCACGGACGGCACGTATATGCCACCCTCATCTTACACACTTGACTTTATTTGGCCCAATCGCTCTGGAATTTCTCAAACTCCCTGACCGGTCAATGAGTTTGCAAACTCCCTAGTGAATTTGTAAACTCCCTAGGGAGTTTGCAAATTCACGGATTTCTCAAACTCCCTGTAACATATATATATATATATATATATATATATATATATATATATATATATATATATATATATATATATATACATATATATATATATATATATATATATATATATATATATATATATATATATATATACATATATATATATATATATACAGGTTCCGAAAAAAGTGTCACAGTTTCAAACGTGTATTATAAACGCTTGACAAGTATTAACGCATTAAAACATACACCATATGAAAGCTCACGTTTGTCGTTTTTCAACAAGGTTACTCTCGTATCAGTGCTATAACTCCTTGCCAGAGGGCAGAGGAGTTCCTGCGATCACAAGTTTACGCGAACTTCTTGTAGTTCACGTTCTCGATATGGGCACCACCGCGGTTGAGACACGCCTTGATTCTGGCCTGGAAACTCTCAGCGACTTTCGTCAGTCTCGGGACCGACTTGATGCAGGTATCTTTCGACGTTCTGCTTAAGCTGGACCAGTGTCTTGGGCTTGCCTGCGTACACAGTGTCCTTGGCAGCCCCCCACAGCCAAAAGTCTAGCGGGTTGAGATCAGGGCTGTGGGGAGCCCACTCATGGGCGGTGCCGAGAGACATGAGGCGAGCGTTGAACAGCTCCTTAAGGCATTCGATACTCTCACGCGCAGTGTGAGGCGGAGCTCCGTCTTGCATGAACCATGCCTGTTGCAGTTGGTTATCGGTGAGCATATCGGTCAGATCCGCGTAGAATTCCCGGATGACCTCGCGGTAGCGCTCGCCATTGATGGTGACGGTCCGGCCATCTTCTTCGAACCAGTAGGGACCGAGGAGGCCGTGAGTGGCGTTGTAGGCCACAAAGGCAGTGACCTTCGGGCCCTTCAGCTGCTTCTCCGTTACTTCTTCCGGTGGTGAGTTACCCCAGAAAGTGTTGTTGTGGTTGTTCACCGCACCGTTCAGGTGGAAGTGAGCCTCGTCTGAGAACCAGACTCGGTTCACCCACCGCGCGTTCCTCTCCATCTTGTTGGAGATCCATTGACACATGACTTGCCGCTTTTGCCTGTCCCGATCCGTCATCTTATGTCTGGTGGATATTATGTACGATGACAGTTTTAGCTCGTCGCATAGGATGCGTCTTACGCTGGTTTTAGCAAGTCCGAGCTGTTGAGAGCGTCGACGGAGCGACTTCTTGGGACTGGCAATGACGGAATTTCGCACGGCCGCGATGGTCTCTGGGGACTTTGAAACCGATGCTGGCCTGCCGCTGCTGCCCCTGTGAGTATTCAGGACTGAACCTGTTGTCTCAAAATGGTTAACAAACCTTGCAATGAGTTTGTTGCAGGGCAGATCTCGAGTTTCCATGTCACACTCGCGTCGAAGTCGGCGGCGGACGGTGACGTACGATTTCGTCTCGAACCATAATCGGACGATTTTGATTTTTTGTTCTGGCGAGAAAACCATCGTAGATTTTGGTGAACCGTTTTGTCCACCAAAATCGACAAGGGTTGTGAGCAACATATCTTAAGCCAAACTATTTCGGACAATTTTTACGGAAATCGCACGTGACTAAAATCGTGACACTTTTTTCGGAACACCCGGTATATATATATATATATATATATATATATATATATATATATATATATATATATATATATATATATATATATATATATATATATATATATATATATATATATATAAAAGTTAAATAACTTCAGACGTTTCGCTGATGTATTCTCAGCTTCATCAGATAATACAATGGCCATTCCGTTTCGCCGAAGGATACAGTTATCGTCACAACCGAGCCGCAATTGTCTTACAACCGCATTAACGTGCGACTGAATTTACCCGACCACTGATTTGGAGATAATCATTAGATAATTCGTATCCCGGTATTGAGTAACATAGATCGTACTACGCAGACAAAAAAAAAAAAATGAGCAATACAAAATCACGTATCGTTGTGACCCGACAACTCAGGTCTCCATAGGGTCCACATTCCGGTGCTGCAGACCTAACCGTTTCTCTTGTTCAGGCTCTCACATCCTCCTCGCGTTCCCAGCAGGCTCATCCACCGACGCTCCCTTGCCCTCCGGTATTCTACATTTTGCCGCCACACGCGCTCTAACCCTACGACCCGTACGTCGCTCACGTTATGATCTGCTGAGCGGAAATGACTGCTGACAGGGAGAGGGACGGCTGGATTTTCAGCTCGTATGGAGGACAGGTGATTTTGGATACGGGTATAAAGACGCCCGCCGGTCTCGCCCACATAGCATACACATTTACATACGTCGCACCAGATGCCATACACAACATTCTCACTTCTGCACCCGATTGTCCTGTCATACGTCGTTACACACCCTGGACTCACGCCTGCCACTCGCTCCACATCTCTGTACATGCGCTTGCAGATCACACACTCCTTTCCACAGCTGTCGATCTTGCGTTCAGTCCCGCTCGATACGGCACCTCTCGTTTTCCTATGAACAAGTATATCGCGTAAATTTTTACCCCGTTTGTAGGCAACCAGGTAGTAAGGCACCGGAGAACAACAAGACAGGCCGGGTCCCCATGGCCATAACCTTTTCCCAGTTCCTTCCAAACATGACAAAACTGTTGAAAAGCAAGAGACACCTACTGCAGAGATCCGAAAGACTGAGCCAGATCTTCTCCATGGACCCAATGATTGCCTACAAACGGGGTAAAAATTTACGCGATATACTTGTTCATAGGAAAACGAGAGGTGCCGTATCGAGCGGGACTGAACGCAAGATCGACAGCTGTGGAAAGGAGTGTGTGATCTGCAAGCGCATGTACAGAGATGTGGAGCGAGTGGCAGGCGTGAGTCCAGGGTGTGTAACGACGTATGACAGGACAATCGGGTGCAGAAGTGAGAATGTTGTGTATGGCATCTGGTGCGACGTATGTAAATGTGTATGCTATGTGGGCGAGACCGGCGGGCGTCTTTATACCCGTATCCAAAATCACCTGTCCTCCATACGAGCTGAAAATCCAGCCGTCCCTCTCCCTGTCAGCAGTCATTTCCGCTCAGCAGATCATAACGTGAGCGACGTACGGGTCGTAGGGTTAGAGCGCGTGTGGCGGCAAAATGTATAATACCGGAGGGCAAGGGAGCGTCGGTGGATGAGCCTGCTGGGAACGCGAGGAGGATGTGAGAGCCTGAACAAGAGAAACGGTTAGGTCTGCAGCACCGGAATGTGGACCCTATGGAGACCTGAGTTGTCGGGTCACAACGATACGTGATTTTGTATTGCTCATTTTTTTTTGTCTGCGTAGTACGATCTATGTTACTCAATACCGGGATACGAATTATCTAATGATTATCTCCAAATCAGTGGTCGGGTAAATTCAGTCGCACGTTAATGCGGTTGTAAGACAATTGCGGCTCGGTTGTGACGATAACTGTATCCTTCGGCGAAACGGAATGGCCATTATATTATCTGATGAAGCTGAGAATACATCAGCGAAACGTCTGAAGTTATTTAACTTTTTTACCTATATGGCCTTTTGCTGATACGTATATATATATATATATATATATATATATATATATATATATATATATATATATAGAGAGAGAGAGAGAGAGAGAGAGAGAGAGAGAGAGAGAGAGAGAGAGAGAGAGAGAGAGAGAGAGAGAGAGAGAGAGAGAGAGAGAGAGAGAGAGAGAGAGAGAGAGAGAGAGAGAGAGAGAGAGAGAGAGAGAGAGAGAGAGAGAACAGACTCGTTTGTGACGTTTCGATATATGTATATGCTTATATCTTCGTCAGAATAACAAATCGGCGTATCGTTCACACTTTTCGACAATAATGGCACACAAACACGATAAAGATGGGTACAAAAACACTTAAAAACACGTAGCGAAATAATCACATCTAATTTCACTTTGTCCTTTCATTTGCAGGATCCAATATTTCTATGTGCCTCCAGCAGCTGGATCCATACTATAATTCGACAGAATAAAGAACAGACGGCGAAAGCAATGCAGAATACCCATTAACTGGGCTTGACGGTTGTACATAACTAATAATTTGCAACACCTGAAGTGGAAGAGATGCACTTGGGTTAGACCTTCCCACCTACCCTTCCTTTCGGACATTTTCTCCTTCACTTTCCCTTAGTGTTCCCAGAAGTCCCACCCACCTCATCTCTCTAAATTTCCTACGGTCCTCTGAGTTCCCCCATGTCCTTTCCAGACCGATTATTCTAAAGTCGCCCTCTTTATGCCCCCCTCCTGAGAAGTGGCGGTTCACGGGAATCCTGCCCTCCCTCCTACACCGTATTGATGAAAGGTGGTTCTGGGTACGCGCGTATATTGTATCGCCTGTTTGTCCTACATATACCACCTTTTCACACTTATTGCACCAGACACCATACACCAGGTTAGATGACCTACACCCTATGGTTTTGTCATAGTGTACGGGCCCTCCCACTCCTGGTATTGAGTCACCCTCATAAAACACCTGACAGATTGCACAGTCCCTCCCGCAGTCCTGCCTCCCTTGGGTTGTAAGTGCCCTCCTCGTCTTGCCATGTACCAAAAGGTCTTTTAGATTCCTTCCACGCTTATACGCCACCATCGGGTCTCTTTGAAATATGTTTTTCAGTCTGTCTGATCTGTGTAGAATGTGTCTATTACTGTGCATGATCCCCCTAATGTTTGGCAGGTAGCTACTGTATGTTACTACCAATGGGACCCTATCCTGCTCCTTAGACCGTCGTGTCTGACCCTTCCCACTAAGCAGAGCTTCTCGTTTCATACGGTCTGCTCTACGAAGCTCACCTTTGACCTTATCCTTAGGGTATCCCCTCTAAACCAACCTGTTGACCAACTTGTGTTTGTGCCGCTGGTAGTCAGATTGGTTGGAGCAGATACGTTTCAGCCTGACTCCAAGGCCCATTGGTATAGCCCTTTTAACGCATGGGGGGTGGTCCGAAGTGTAGTGCAGGTACGCTCGAGCATCAGTTGGTTTGGTGAAGAGATCGGTAGATATGTGACCCGACTCACTGAGATGTACCTCCACATCAAGGAACTCGATGTGGCTGTCAGATATCCTCAGATCCACCTTGATGTTTTGGTGTATCTGGTTGGCCAAATCATGAAAGGCCCGCAAGCTCTCCTCTCCATGTACCCATAGACCCCAGATATCGTCAATGAAACGATACCATTTGAGCGGCTTGAGCGCAGACCTACACAACAAATCTTTCTCCCATGCCCCCATATACGTGCACGCAAAATTTCTGCCCAATTTAGACCCAATCGCGGTACCCTCCGTTTGCCTATAATTCCTACTTTCCCCGAGCTGAAAATTATTATTGTCCAGGACTAACTCAATGACTTCCAAGACTTCCTCTGTGGGGATGTTTGGCTCTGTCCGTTCATTTAACGCCACCCGACATGCGTCTAACCCCTCCCGCCTCGGGACACTCGGGTACAATTTTGCCACGTCCATGCAGAACATCAGAGGCCGGTGCCCTCCATTACGCTCGACTGGTTGGCCAATCTCCTGCAATTTGCTGAGGAAATCCCCGGTATCCCTTACGTACGAGTCCTGTGCTTCCACATGCTCCGTCAGCTGACTCTCTGCTAACCCCGCTAGTTTCTCAGTTGCCTGCCCCCTCCCACTTACAATTGTCCTCATTGGGGCCCCCTCCTTGTGAATCTTAGGGTTGCCCTGTAAGATACCTGGTGTCGGACGGGGAGGGACAAGATACTTCTTCTCATTCTTACCGATATATCCTTTCTCCTCTAGTCGTGTCACTAACTTACTCACCTTCCTCGAGATCACTGAGGTCATGTCACCCTTTGTTGGTTCATACCGGTCTCCCTTATCCATCTCATCTGACAATTTATCAATGTAGTCCTCCTTGTTCATAATCACGAAGGACGACCCCTTATCAGCTGGTCTGATAATGATTGAGTCGTCCTTCATCAGAGAGAGGAGCGCCTCTTCCTCCCCTTTACTCAAGTTGGACCTTCCCGTCTTACGCAATCCCTGTATCACACCAGACGTCACCTCCTCAATATAAAGATCTAACCACTGATCTCTGCCTTTGGGAGGGGTCCATCGTGATGTCTTATACTGGCAGTCCCCATCTCTGTCCCCGCCACTATCCTTTTTATCCTGCCCGTCCCAGTATTCCTTCAACCGCATTAACCTTTCCCACTCCTTCAGCTCTGCTGTCAACTGTGCTATCGTCTGACGCTTCGTCGGTACGAAAGATAGCCCCTTACCCAATAAGGAGAGCTCCGACTCAGTGAGCCGCCTATCTGATAGGTTGATTGCCTCTACCCGTGCACGGCCATCTGGATGTCTGGGTATGGTGTCTGGTTCTGGAGAATCATGCTCTATCGTCTCAGTTACCACAGGGACTGCTGGCATCCCCCTTTCCTCATCTG